TACTGAGGCATGAGAGCTGGGCGAGCCAGTTTAAACATTCCTATGGAGGAGTAGGATCAACTGACTGCGTGATAGCACCCTTCCTAGTGCTTAGTTCTTGCCCGTTTGGGTAAAGAAAAAGGCCCCTCCACTGATAAGGAATGCAAGCGAATAGATTAAAGTAAAGTATTTACCTAAAGTACATCAAATGCTGATACCATAGTTTAAGCTAAGTGAGTTCGAAAGAAGTAGCTCCTTTATCAAGGTGTCCCGAATTAGAGACGTACTTGAGAATATCTCTTTTGCAGTGTTCTTATATTTAGCGTTGTGATTTGCCGAATTACCTTAAGTAGGCCTAAACATCACCTTATTGAATGATAAACGAAACCATTTTAGTATGGAGGTAAACGATGGCAAAGGAAATTAGAGAAAGCCTTCTTCAGGCAAAACTATGGGTGTGGTATTAAGGTAAATTGGCACGGATAGGCACAGGGTAGAATAAAATTGGGACGAGAGGGATACTTTTAACTAAAAACATTATTTAGAGCCTCAGCAGACCTTTGAAATGTGGCTCATCAACATGTGCCTCGTAGACGACCAACCCAAAAAGTTCTGGCATGGTTTTCCTGTGGATAGGATGTGGATCACCTTTATCGACGGTAAAATCAAATCATGTTTTTAAATTAAGCAAATATTCACTTCTTACTTAAACGGAAAATAGGAGTGGTGATTTCAAGTTAAAAAGGTATTCAATGGGACTAGTGGAGACGTTGGTGATGTAGTCGATGTAAGTAGTATGTCTGTCTAACACCCCTTCTCTCCCCCCCCCCTCTGACAATCGCATAATTTCAAGCTTCACTCAAAATTTACTACATTCTTACGTTGGTTTTATACGAGTGCTCGTTAAATAGTTCTTTTTGACCTCATCCTTCTGGTCAACTGGATGGTTGTGTGTTTGTGTCCCTGGACGGCTGGCAAAACGAAGTGTCGACGTTTTATCACTGGGTCTAAGTCCATTCATACTACAATTAAATAAAGGAGTAAAGCATTTTTTACATTATTCTCAAACAAGGTAATAATGAAAGCCATTGTAGGAATCGCTATTCCTTGTTGTACCTATTTCGAACCATCACACCGTATTATTGCACACTCTGCCAACATAATCCCATATCATGTCACACGAGAGGATAGAACATCACTGGATGTGAAAAATGATGGTGCCAATTGCATCTATTGGCACCACAAAGTTTAAGTTGGCCTACAAAGTAGCTGAAGTGTTCTGTCATATTGACTGCATGGTATCTGGGAGAGATCCGGCTCACGATACCAACAACTGGTGAATTCAAAGTAAACGGTAAAGGTTATTACCGGGTTAAAGAGTACCCATTACATGTAGTTCACTGCCCCGTTGCCAGTACAACTATGCCAAGATAGGCAGTGACAATCACTATCTAGAATGATGACCATTCGCATTGGCATAGCTGTGAGCAAAATTAGTGGAGAGTCCAGCGTTGTCATGAAGCAACTTGAAAGACAAATTAAAGAGGCCAGAGCAATTGATTTGACACATCAAGATTAAATCAGCACAGGAAAGGTAAATCGGAGGAAAGGTGGGAATAAAGGAGTAAGCGAGTGAAATACATAATCAGTTAAGGTATGGAGTAATTAATTGAGTATTCGTAATGCAAGAACATCCAACATCATCCAGTAACTCGACACCAACTGCATCCCTTCTTAGTTGACACTTGGAAAGTCAGTCAACCCCCCTACCCACCAGAATTTTACTGGGAACAATAAAATACTACAATGGAAATAATTTAAACCAGATTTAAAAAGACGGGAAAATTTTGTTAATTCCAGGTTTTTTAATTGGTAATAATAAGAAAGATCCATTTGTCGAAAAATGCTTTGGATGGGGGGAGTTAATGCTTCTTCTTTTGTGAAGATTTACCACAGATGCGCTTGCAGTCCCTCTTGTGTTTGAAGCGATTTCCATTGCCTCCACATCCGCTATAAGTGAAACGCTCACAACTACCCTTGCTGGGATTATAGCCATAGACTTTGACTCGGGATCGGCATTGACCTTTCTCAATCGGCAGATTGCAGATATTCA